CCTGAGATTTAGGATATACTTACATAGCCACTAAACCATTGACTTACTTCAGATCTAATATTACCTCATGATACCCAGAGTACATATTCAAATATCTACAATAGTCCCAAAAATATCTTTATTATTTTTTTCCAATTCTGGATTCAATCGAAAATAGTATATTGAATTATTATATGCCTGTAGCCTTCTTTAATCTACAAATAATAACCTCATGCCTGTTTAAATGACATTATATGACATTCTCCAGTAAAGCCACCAAGGCATACAAATTTCTTTGTGTGAAGGTTTTTAATTACAGATTCAATTTCTTTAAGTCAAATACTCAGATTTTCTATTTCCTCTTTTGGCCATTTTAGTCATTTTTGTCATCTTAGTCCTTTGAATCTGTCTTCTTCTCATTCTCCTCTTCTCCATCCAGCTTCCTCTTCTGGAATGGACAGTCACCTCTAGGAAAAAGTGGCCCAAAAGCCAGGATCACATTCTCTGGGTTTATGTCTGCTTCCAGATCTCAACCCCGTAATTCTTCATTGTTTTGGTAGACTCTGACATAATTAAACAAATTTTATATTTTACAGTTTTTCCAGTTATTCTCCACAGACAGCTGTTCCAAATTAACCTGTCTGCCAATTTATGGGAAATGGAACTCCAAACTTTTGTGGAATCTGCAAGTTTCAAGATAGCTACTTTTCACAAATACTCCTGAAAAACTTCTTGCCACTTCAAATACACAACAGGCCTTTATTATTCTAAATGTGTAGCCTTACTTCCATAGACAGAATTTCCAGATCCTAGTATCTTTTTAAGCCTCCTTTTCCATAAACTGATTTCTACCCTGAGTTTTAATTCCTCACTTTTTATAGTAAAATCTTGTTTCCTTTACAACTCAAAAAACATAATGGACTACCAAATTCCCTAACCTACACTTTGTAAGTCACTCCTGTCCAACCTACATTTTGATTCATACTTTTCTTAAAGACAAAGTAATTAAAGGTAAAATGCATAAGAACATCAAAACCCAAATAAAGTAGCAGCTATAAAACAGAGAAATCAAAACAAACAGGTCTGTGTATGGTGAAATAATGTGAATGAATACTGAAAAAAACTAGTTCAGTTCTGGCTGAGTCCTAATCTGTATTCAGACCAGAATAAAATCCTTAGATCATTCTGTTCTGGCTCTGGGAGACATTCAGTTACAGAGCTGAGTAGGAGGGAACTGCAGGGTCTTTCTACTGACCTTTCCTCCATTCTTGACCCCACTCTAGTTTTCCTATCTACACTGTGGAAGTCTTATCAGCTTCCCAAAATGAGCATTTAAAACTCTAAGTAACAGATACACATGCCTAATAACATGATGCATTTTACTGATTGCCATTCTCAATCTTGACCTCTTTATTTTCAAAAATGTTTCTATTTAGAGCACATAAAATATATTGACAAAGTTTCATTACCAACTGAATATAGGTTAATATGACTATGCTTACCCTTCAAAATCCATGGAGGAGGTAGTTACGTCTACAATGAGTATTTAAATAAACTAAGTATAAGATTAAGGGCCAAGAATACTACTTTTAAATAATTTATAATGGTTTCTCCCTAAAGCTAAGTTTTATTATTAAAATAATCTTGGGGCAGAATAAAATTGTAAAAAGGTATGGGAATATATTAAATGTAAATCTGAGAGGAAAAAAATACTTTAGCCACAAAAAAAAAATGCTGTCAGCATCAGAAGTAATAAAGATCACAGAGTACTTTTAGTTGAGTTCTCAATAGTTTACTTATTTACTGAACATCTACTATATCCATTGCACCATATTGGGTATTAGTATTCCATACTATAAAAAAGTACAGAATAGATGATAGTCTAATGGAACACTACTAAGATTAGAAAAGAATAACAGAGGACATGAATGAAGCCTAAGCCATTTCTTCAAAGATGAGAAGCATTTTACCAGGTGAACACAATGCGTAAAGTTATTTTAAACATATAAAAAGACAGAAAAAAACCAGTAAGCACTGTTGGGAGAAATTAAGTTAGTTAACACTGTATATGATTAGTAGTAAAAGTTGCATATGATAGAATGGTAAGGAAATGAAAAGGTAAATTGCTTCAATTCATAAAGAAGCTTTTCTTATGTCCATTCTAAGGGATTTGATCTAAAGAGTAATATGGGAATAAAAAATGAGCTTTGCTTTTTACAAAGATCAGTCTAGTAATAGTGAAGAAGTTGAGTAAGAAAGGAAGGCTGAGGCAATAGGCTACTACAGTAATTCAGAGAGATGTTAAAAGCCTAAATTAGAGCAATGGTAAATAACACAGAAAGAGTGAATTTAAGAATAGGGGAAAAGTAGACTTGACGGAACATGACATCTGACTACAAGGTAAAGGAAAGAATCTAGTATTTCCATCATGTTTCTATTTCAGAATTTGGGTCTAGCCTATCTTCACCACGAATCAACCATGGGATTCAGTTAACCTTCATGGGTTCTGTTACCTTACATACTAAGTGAAGGGATTGGACCGATGTTCTCTGATGTCCCTCATCAGCTTAAAATACCCATTACAATGACTAGACATTATACATGGTCTTAAATAAGTACCTTATACGATTATATTCAATTGAAATATAAGTGGTTGTTCTTCTTTCTTTATTCTTTTAAATCTACCTCTTTAATACAATTACACCAAATTACCTGTGTGAAAGAGCAATGTAAGAAATCACAAAAACATTTTTCCCATGAGACTAATTTTTCAAAGTCGCTTATTTTAATTACACTTCTATTATCAGCAGTATTTTCATTCAGAACGAGTGGCTACTAGTCAACTATTAGTTTCAATAAAACTAATACTTACTCAAGTTAAACACAGCATTATAAAGTAGATATAATAGAGCATCTGCCTAAATCAACCCTAAGGTCTTCTCTGTCATGAAAATATTCTTTTGAGAAATTACATCTCAAAATAATCAATTCCTTAAACACATCAATGAATAGATTAGTCCCTGAGTGTAAATCAGATGTTTTGCCAACAGGCAAAACTCCTGGGATTATATTTAATAACTGATATTTAAAGCAATGATTTCTGACTTGTCAGAGATACTCAGGGAAGCTGTCTAAAGGGTACCTAATTTCTTAAAAATCTTAATTTCCACATCATTTAAATAAAGAAATAATTTAGTCATGGTACAGAATAAACTCAATATTTTAATACTGTTTTGCTAAGTATTCTGAGTTATTTTTACAACTGAACTAAAGAAGAGGAAAGACACCTTCTACAGTTTTTGAAAAAGTATTTTAGTCAGACCCCCCCCTCTCCCCAATGGCCCTAACATCTTAGAAATGAAAACAGTGAAGTCCAGAAAGGTTAAGATCCTAGTCAAGTTGATGTTGGTAAACTGGAGACTATATTTTCACTACAATTTTCCAATGAATCTAACTACCTCTAGATTTCTGTATTTTTAAAATATAAAAGTGTGATTCTATGCCAAATGCTATTACAAATCTCATCAAAGTGCACTTCATTTCCCCTAGGCTTAAACAAAAAAATCCCTTACTTAATAAAGCCCTTGAACTTCAGAAGATAATGTAACTACAAAAAGATAACATGACATTCACTTTGTACTTGAACAACTTAAAACGAGGCCATTAAATTTAATATTATACATTACAAACCAACGATAATTAAATAATACATCAAAGTCGAAATATTTGAAAAATAAATATAAAGCTTTGATGATCATAAATAAGTCAAGTATATGAGATATAACAGAAACACCCTCCCCAAAGTTAGTGTAAGGAAGAAAACTGCCAACCAGCATATGATAAAGGATCTAAATTTTTCCTCTACCAAGAAATCACCTGAGAAAACTTTTTCATTTATTTATCAAGTGAAACTTAAGGCTCTAAAACATGCCAAACACTATTCCAAGCACCAAGGATGAAGTGTTACAGAACAAGAAAAATAAGATCCTATCCTCATGAAACTTACATCCTAGTAGCAAAACACAGGCAATAAACAAACAAGGCAAATATCAGATAATGATAAGCATTATGGAGAAAATGTTACTGAGGTTGTAAGATAAAAGCGTGACTGGGTAACAACTGGAGACTGGATGGTCAGTGAGGGCCCCATTAAGAAAATAAGTTTTTAGCTGAGTTCAAAACGACAAGAAAGGATCTACCCACTCTAAGAGTAGGACAGAAGTACATTCTCAACATAGGGAATAACATGACCTGCACCAACTGGGATTGAAGAAGCGAGAAAAGGCCAGCATCTCATGAAGCACAGTTGGTGAGGGCAAGGATGATTCGAGATCAGAAGAAAGGTGGAGGCCAGATCTCATAGGGCTGAGTATCAGCATGAACTTTTTGGGTACAAACCTGAATCTGGAAAATTTAGAACTACAGTTGTGTTAACTATGCTTTTTAGTTATCAGAGTTTAGAAAGAGAGGCTGAATCTCAAATGAACAAACTCAGATGTTTTACCAAAGAATCATTTATTTTGTTTTTGTTTTTAACCTTGGGAAAGTAACCTATATTAATATATAGTATCGCAATCTCTATTTATAATTTCTTTCAAATATAATCAATTGACGAGAATATTAGTGTGCAACAGGAATTGAAGCAAAGTTTAGCTTCAGTGCTGCCCCTCACAAAGTGTTGGCGGGCCTCTATAAGAAATTGAGCTACATGGCTTTTAAGGTTCCTTCAAGCTACATTAAAATTTTTATTTACCCTCTCCTTATTTCAAACATAATAGTGGTTTTCAAACTCTAAATTCCTATGAATCCCTCATGAATGATTGTATAATAATTACTAATTTAATTCTGCTTCTATGACTCTATCCTGAGCTCCTAGATAGATAAGACTATCTTTTATAATTATAAATAATTGTCTGCAAACTTGAGCCTTTCCCTATATGGTATACAATTTAAAAGGAATCTATTTTCAAACCTTAGTGGCTCTATAAAACAAAACAAAACAAAACAAAACAAAACTATACCTATCTGTTTTGCAGCCTGCAATATATCATTTAAGTCTTCATTTACACTTTGTATTTCACTCTTCTCCAGTTTTTCATTCAAAAATTTTACTATCTTCTTCCATGTCATATCCAAATCTACAATTTGTTCATGAAGTTTGGACCGCTTCACCTAAAACAGCATAATAGAGACATTACTTAATGGTTTCCTCAAAGCCATCACTTACCACATACATTTTGCATTACATTATACAACGTGGCACCACCCACAAGAATTCAAAATTGCTTTTTAACTTAAACTCCCAAAGTGGCCGGTTAGCTCAGTTGGTTAGAGCGTGGTGCTAATAACTTAAACTCCCAGAAGGAGCTTTATTTAAATGTGATTTTAAAAAATCTTGTCTGTTTAAAAGATATGTTTAAAAAAACTTTATTTTTCATAGTTTCAATCACAGTGAATATTCATTATGCAATTATTTTCATACAACAAAAGAAAAAGGAACAAAGGAAAAAGTCCAACATCCAGGGGTGCCTGGCTGGCATGGTAGGTAGAGCATGTGACTCTTGATGTCAGAGTCATGAGTTTGGACCCCGTGATGGGTATGGAGCCTAGGTGAAAAAAAACAAAAAAAACAAAAAACAACTGATGAAAAGGTCCAACATCCAGATAACAACAACTGGTAATATCCCACATACTTCTTTTCCATTTTTTTTAAATATAGCTTAGATCATACATATTACATATAAGTGTATATGTCATGCTTTTTGATGAAAGGTATTTAAGGAAAATCAGATTCGTATTATGGGTTCAATACACTCAAATCAGTATTGTATGATCTTAAAACAGGTTAGGCATCCAGGAGATTCTTATCTATTCACAATCTTTTCTTGAGACTATAAATATTTCCATTCTTAAGAACTGACATAGAAAGCAATAAAAATTTTATTTCATACCATTGACCTTGACCCATGGATTAAAATTCATGAAGCCCTCTGACCAAATAAAAAAGTAGTGGATTAGACAGAAAACTATAATTTTCATCTTGGTTTGTAGTGATGATATTGCATAATTCATTATTATTTCCCTGCCTCAGTCTTCTAATTTAAAATGTTAACTAATGCTTATTAATCTGGGCTTAGGGGTAAGAAAATGGACAAATGTAGAAATGAAATAAGATTAGCCATTGGAGCACCTGACTGGCTTAGTCAGAGGAGCATGCGACTCTTGGTCTTGGGATCATGAGTTCGATCCCCACACTGAATGTAGAGATTACTGAAACAAACAAACAAACAAACAAACAAACAAAACACTGGCCATAAATTGAATTAAATTGTTTCAATGGGTTATAGGCACAAAAAGGTTCAGCTTACTTTTCCCTCTTTTATATTGTTGGACATATCTCCAAGATAAAAAGTTACATTAAAATGAGGTTCATTAGAGGGTGTCTGGATGGCTCAGTCAGTTGAGCATCCAACTCTTCGTTTCAGCTCAGGTCATGGTCTCAAGGTTGTAAGATTGAGCCCCACACTGGGCTCCGTGTTGGGCTCCATGCTGGGCTCTGCAATGGGCACGGAGCCTGCTTAAGATTTTATTTTTTTAAGATGTATTTATTTATTTGAGAGAGAGAGAGAGAGAGAGACAGCATGAGAGGGAGGGGCAGAGGGAGAGGGAGAGAGAATCTCAAGCAGACTCTGTGCTAGGCATGGAGCCCAATGTGGCACTCAATCCCAGGTTTCCTGAGCGGAAACCAAGAGTTGGATGCTTAATCGACTGTGCCACCCAGGCACCCCTGCTTAAGATTCTCTTTCTCCCTCTCCCTCCACCCTTCCCCCCCTCCCCTGCTCCCTCTCTCTTTAAAAAAAAAAAAAGAGAGAGAGAAAAAAAATAAAATAAGGCTCATTAGATCTGCCACTTTCCTTAGGAAAAAAAGAAGTGTCTAAAAGTCTATAAGAATAAGTGAAATGACATGAAATAAGCATGTAGTCCTTATGCATTTTCAAATTTTAAAATCTTCTGTTGTATGTTTAATACTTGTTTTACAAGTAACTTGCAAAAGGGGCTTTGGTTAAGTGAGGAGAGAAAACAATTCAAGTTTAAGATAGTAATATTAATTAACTGTATAGACTATACCTTTATTTTAATTGCCATGAAAATGCAAACAGCTCCCACTGTAAAGAAGGTCAACTGTTTTCTGTAGCAAAACTGTATCACTGTTAGAGGAAAAATCTATCTAAAGATTGTTAACAAATCTTCCTAGTATCTATCATTAAATGAAGGCATTAATTCTAAAACTGCATAAGGACTGTAAGCAATAAAATTCCAACCTATTAGAAAACAACATTAATATTCTACAATAGAGTCAAATAAAGAGTCATCAAAGTGACTGTTGTTTTTTAAAAAACAACATAGGGTCAGTTCCTTCATATATAGAGCTCACACGTTGATATATACAGTTTATGTATCTTCAGGCCTATAAAGTCCACAACCAATTATAAGGACCATACCAAAGTCAATTATGAGATCAGCTACTGATTTTAAGACATTAATATTCATACTTTCCATGTTATGGTAAAGACATTATTTCTGTCCACTTGATAAAAATTTTACCAGAGACCCATAAACTTACTCAGATGATCCAGAGTTAAATTACTGGATTAAATTACAAAATTAACTGTGGCAGAAATCTTAGCAACAAAAACTAACAAAGAATTCTCTATCATAGTTCTGATTATTCTCTTTGACAATACAGTCATAGGTGCTTAAGGTAAGTATGTTCATAGAAACATCATTACCCATTCCCTTTCCTGGTGTAACACCAAACAAGAGAAAACTTACCACTTTTTTAAGTATACAAAACTAAAAAAAAGAATGTCAATTATCTGCTTCCATTGTACATTTATAGTGTTTTCATCTAAAAAGTTTACCTTTAAGTCAGCCACTTCTTCATTATAATTATCTTGCTTGGTGACATTTGAAAAGGAGCGCAAAGCTCCTGTGAGACGGGGTAAAGCCATCTATTATTCTCAGTGATCTGTACAAGGAGAAACCTGAAACTGAAACAAAACAAGATGATATTTATCTGCTGGGAGGAGGCTGGAGAAGTAATCAAATTCAACAAATTAACCTGTACAAGAGAAAAGAAAAGCCAATTAATTAAAACGCAATTGCCACCAATGTTGAAAAATTCTCCTGACACATTTTTTACCCATGAAGTTTTTTAATAACCACACTGACTATGGCTGAAGAAAGGAAAAAGAAACACAAAAACACCTGTTTGTGGGTACTACTATAACATCCCTTCAAAATGAGTTTTACAGATCCCCAAGGACAAGTCTCCAATACTGTCTTACCACTGCCAGTCACATTGGAAGACATGAAAGCACTTACCCATCTTTTCTCCAATTTTGTTTTATGCTCACTGATTTCATCTCACATTACCCTTTACTTTCAGAGTCTCACTGGCTTTTTCTCTTCTTGAAGTATCAAGCACGTTTCCATCTAAATGCATTTGCATTAAGGGTTCCCTGTTTAAAATGCTCTTCTGATGTTCATATAACTGACTCCTTGACACAAGATACTTCCTGAGATGGGACTTTCTTGACTACTCAATCTAAGACAGAACAGCTACCCACTTCCTATCTCTCAAAGCACAAAATTTCAATTCTCCTTATACTAATTAATATTTAACATATTCCTGTTTATTTATGTGTTGTCTCGCTTCTTGACAAAAAAAGATTTCACTGTTGTGTCCTAGCAAATAGAACAGTCTGGGAATACTTTGGATAGTTGATAATTATTTGGTAAATAATGAAAGAAAGAAAAATGGAGAAAAGGAGATAATGGTAACAGAGAGACTTAAGAACAGAAGGAAAAAATTAAAGCAGCTGGGGAAGGGGAGAAAGAAGTCAGATGATCTGATCTCCCTGTTTACATGCTGACAAATAAACAACTAAACCTTCTGGCAAACAGACTAATAATATTGACTATAAGGGGTCTTTATCTATGAAACACTGTTGGAGCATCATCCTGGATTAAGATTGCTTATTATAACAAAACTATAATCTACAGGTTTATAAGGCATGGCTCCCTGGACAATGTCACAATAAGTATGTAAGTCTCTAGGACAGTTCTCAGGGATGGTTTTGCCTCGCATGGGATAGTTGGCAATATCTGGTGACATTTTGAGTTATCACAACTGGAGAGTGGGGAGTATGACTGGCTTCTGGTAGGTAGAGGCCAGTCATGCTGCTAAATATCCTATAATGCACAGGACAGTCTCCCCACAACAAAGAATTACCTAGCCCCAAATGTAAATAGTGCAGAGTTTATGAAATACCGCTCAAGAGTCTGAAATAGAGGTTTTTATAATCCAGAGACTTCCTACAGTCCTCAATTAAGACACCTCATTGATTACATTGGGCCAAAGAGCATGTGTCCAATGTGGGAAAGAAAGAACCAGGGGGGCCGTATAGAATATTTCAGACCACACCCTGATTCTGCTCTTTCTCACTGTTTATATCCTTGAAGTTATCACAAAGTTTAATACTTGGAAAAATCTCTGAGTCCTATATTAGAATAATTACATATAAAATAACTGAAATGTTTAACAAAATAAGAGAGAATTTAAAAATAATGAATAAGAAATGACAAAGCAAATTTGAAAATATAACTTTTAAAAATAAAAATATATATTTATTAAATTTAAAAACAATCAATGGAAGGGTTAAAAGATAGATTAGACACAGCTAAAGAGAAAAGCAGTGACCTGAAATAAAGACCTGAAGAATAACCCAGTATGCTGTCACAAATAAACAAAGTATAGATTAATAAAGACAAAGAGGAAGAAGTCCAAATATATCAAAATTCACAGTAAGTGTAAATGAATTAAACTTAACACTCAAAAGATTGACAGAATTACTAAACAGCAATCAAGTGAACATTAGAGTTACACCTAAAACACAGGACAATGAAAGTTTGTATTGAATAAGATCTTCCTGTAAATAATAACCAAAGTAGCTGGTGGCTTTACCAAAAATATCAAATCAGACAAAACAGACTTTAAAACAAAAGGCATTATAAAGGATTTAAAAAAAAAAACCCTCTCTACATAATAATAAAAATTACATCTCACTAAGAAAATATAAAAATTTTCAATTTGCATGCTCTGATGAAAGAGCCTTAAAATAAATTAAAACAAATAGAACTCCAGAAGAAAGTCACAAGTCCAAGATCAGTGAAAGTTCAATATTTGATTATTGAGAGGTCAAACCAACGCCCCCCAAAATTCAGTAAAGTTATACAGGGTTGAGCAGTGAAACTAGTAAGTTTAACTTAATGAACTATACAGAAATCTGCACCTAATGATTAGAAAATACATATTCTTCACAAGTACATTTATAAAAGTTTAATGAAGTAGTCTGTGTATAGTAGGCCATAAAGCAAATTTCAACAAATTTCAAAGAATAAGTACCATACAGATCAGGGGTCAACATACTTTTCCTGCAGAAAGACAGAGTAAATATTTTAGATTTGGGAGGCCACATGCAGACTTTGTCACATATTTTGTCGTTTGTTTTTGCTTTTGTTTTATTTTTTTATTTTATTTATTTGACACAGAGAGAGCGAGAGAGAGAGAGAGAGAGAGAACAAGAATAAGCAGGGAGAACGGCAGACAGGGGAGAAGCAGGCTCCCCGCCGAGCAAGGAGCCAGATGTGGGGCTCCATCCCAGAACCCTGGGATCATGACCTGAGCCAAAGGCAGCCGCTTGACTGAGCCACCCAGGTGTCCCTTTGCTTTTGTTTTAAACAACACTTTAAAAGTATAAAACTACTATTGGGCTCCAGGTGACCAAATTAGTTTGCTGACCCCTGATATAGACCCTATTTTCTGAGCAAAATACAATTAGATTAGAAATCGGAAACAACAAAGATAAAGTAAAAAAACACAAATGATTGCATTGCAAATCAATAAGGAAATGGTATGAAAATGGCTGGGAAAAAAAGATTTGGATGCCCTATATCACACCAAAGAATTTTAATCAGGAAAGTAAAATGACCTAATTTGCAAATAAACACCCTAGCTAGCTGACTTTAAATTTCAACTACTCATTGGGAGTGAACTTAGGAGAGCATTTCTGGGAACAAAATGACTCAGGGAATCACATCTAGATTTTTCTAACACTGGGTAAATACTGTCTGGAGAATCTGGAAGGAGAAATGAAAGCAACAGTCAACAGACAGCACAGAACAGATTCTGTATGCATCAGTCACCTAGCTAAAACTAAGCCCCTGCCTCTACTCCTCATCCCAAATTTTGACTCAGTAGATCAGATGGCACTGAGATGGGGCAAAAGAATTTTACATTTCCAACAAGTGCAGGTCAAAGACCACACTTTGAGAACAACTCTCTTAGGGATATTATCTTTTATTCTTAAATCACCATTCAATTTGGTCTCAAATCAATAGTAATTAAGGAGTTTCCACCTACTAAGAATTCAGTGACCTGAGTTTAAGTGAACAATCTGCTTTCTAGGAGCCTTTCTCAAACAGGGTGTGTGAAAGAATTAAGTCTTAACTGAAAGTGACTTGAGTGGCTTTTTTCTCAATTCTCCCAAGGATAGAACATAGAGTTACTATTATCCATGCAGGAGAAATAAGGCACACAACAAACAATGCCTTTGGGGACTGGAGTTTAAATTCTCTATCTAGATTAAGAGACTATAAAGATAAGCATTCTATTCATAATGTTTGACATTAACCCAGAAGTCTTTAAAGGTCTTGACAGAAAAATGAATATATTCGGCCTCAGAACCTGCCTTTTACCACATAAGTTAGTGTTTTCAAAATGCAACATCGTAACAAAAGATATATGATACATGGAATATTCTGCTACATGGAATATTCTGCCACAGGTATGTTTTATGAATAAAAGGGGTATTTGGGACCACTACTTCCATCATTTTGACATAACCCACTATAATCTCCTGAATCCCCTGTCCTTCTCAAAAAAGAGCAGGGCATGAGAATAAAAATGGATGAAGTCTAATTCACAAACCTAACAAATCCTAACAAGATAATACACCCAATCTCTAAGAAGAGATCTAACAGCAGGGCTTGGTAATGAGATCACACTGTTGTTACAGGAGGAAACTTTAAAACTCTGAGGTCTCATCAAAATGACTAATATTAACTACACTTGTCAAGAAAATGAAGTAACCTATACTACTTGATTTTCTAATTTAGTTTTATCTGTTTTTCTTCCTCAGGTTGAATACTAACACTTTAAAAATGTAATAGCTCATTTGTCATGATGACCTGTAAATCATTTATTCACAAATATTTGAGTTTCTCTGATTTACCAAGAACCGTCAGACACTGGGTATAAATAAGATTTACAGAACTCTGCTCTTCAAAACTCACTGTACTTTGTACCAGTAAAAAGATTACTAACACTTAAAGTTATCTAAAATGTATAAAGGTCAAAATGAGAAAGCAAATTTTACATCTTGGTCATTTATTTAATCAGCAAATATCTATAGATCACCAACGAAACATTAGACACATTGTGAGGCTCTAAAGATTAAAAAAAAATACATTTCGGGTTATGACCACACTTGCTCTGAATGACAAGCTTACAGTATGGCTAAGAAGAGTTATAATAAAACTGTAGGAAGACAGAGGTGGAATATCTAAGAGAGTGAGAAGGAAGGTAGATAAGGACAGAAGTTGAGATCTACAGGACTTGAAAGAGTTGTCTGGTAAAGAAAAGGTAAGGGTATAAGGAGAAAACTAAAATAACAGACTTACTGCTTAAAAGAAAAACCCTATATAATGTACACTTGGAGACCCATGGAATAAGAATAAAGATGTAAGCAGAGACCCAATCTCAATCTAAGCACTTTTTTTCCTGACAATCAGAGTCATTGAAAAAAAATTAACATACTGTAGAAAAATTACTCAGGTTTAAGTTTGGTGAACAGATTAAAGGTGGGTCAAACTAGAGGCCAGCAGAACAGACACATGAAAAAGTGCTCAACATCGCTCGGCATCAGGG